GGGGGGAGCGCCAACGGTTGTTGTTGGGCCGTGCTCGCGGTGTGGGCTGCGCGGCGTGGCGCGGCGTGGCGGGGCGTGGCGGCGAGTGGACTGGCGCGCACAGGTTGGCTGGCTGCGCCGCCGCTGGTTGGCTGGTTAGTCTCGACTCTGCCGTTGAGTCGTCGGGACGTGAGTCCCTCGCGCCGTCCGTCCCGCCGGCAGATCGACGTGGTTGTGGTGGATGTGAAAGCGCGCAAGCGGACAAAAGCCCTTTGCTGTTGCGGTGGCGTGCGCCGCGAGCAGGGTGCGAGTGCGACACGAGTGGCAGTGTGTGTCGGTGCCTGTCAAGTGCCAAAAAGTGAGTGTCTAGTGTATCACAAGTTCGCAGTGAAGTTTCTCTGGAAAAGTGCCAACAGAGTCGTGCTAAAAAGCCTGTGCTGTGCGTCGTGTGTTGTGTGTGTCCCGAAACCGCGCAACTCGTCGTCGACAAACCCTTTGGATTAAACTGGATTGCTTGGATTACTTCGCCGCCGTCGCTCCCCCGCCTCCCTCGGCGAGAAGCGCCCAACTCTCAAAGGTGATTGCTCTTCACATCACGTCCCTGCGCGGACGCCGCTCGCATGGCTCCAGGATGCCTCCAGGGGGGCTTGTCGGAGGCTTCCATGAGACTTCCAGGAGATTTCCAGGAGGCCCGTGTCACGTGCGAGCCGTGTCTCCGGCTCTCTCCCTCCAGCTGACTAGACGTGACGGCCGACGGCCGACGGCGGTCTCGAGTCCTCCGGGCGGGCCGGCCCGAGCGCTGTTGCCGGATGTGGAACCTCCCTCTCACCTGGCGGACCGGGTCGGGCCGGGCGTGAGGTGAGGCGCGAGGGCCTCTGCCCGGACCGGCGCGGCGGCCGCGAGTCTGGCGGCATTTCTGATAGTCTAGTCACCTCACGCGTCACGGTTGCTAGGCAACGTCACGTGCGTCGTGGGGGCGGGGGCGGAGCGACGGCCGGCCACCCCCCGAGCCGGTGGCGCCCACCTGCCACCTGC